TTAATCTTATATCGTTCGATTATTTTTAAAAATTTGTATATTATATATATATATATATACATATTTTTCAATTTTAAAAAAAAGTGTACGAATAAATTTAACAAATATTCAAGAAATTTTATATATATATAAAATAAATATAATTACAATTTATATCGATATATATACTTCGATCGAAAATTAAACACACATCCTACTCGGGGTATACAGTCTTAGGAACAAGTAGAAGAGGTAACATGATAGAAAATCATCGAGGCGTTCTATCTAACGGGTAGGGTGTAGAAACAACGAAGCAAAGTTGAAGAGCTTTTGACTCGATTATCGATCTTTGACACTCGTGTTACCTATCTATATATATATATGTGTGTGTGTTTGCACATATAGATTTTAGATAGACATTAAAGATATAAGTTCCATCCGATGTTTAATGAATGCGAGAATCGAACAGATGCAATCGTGTATGCTCTATCTTCGTAGAAACAAATCCATAGTAGTCAAGTTTGAAATTAAATAGAGAATACTTTCCACGCGAAAACACCCGTTATATCTTTCCGCATAGACTTTCAGTTCGGTCCTCATTAAATATAAATCACTACTTACGTTTATGCATGTCTATGTAAATGTATGTATACATATGTATGCATATATATAATACATACATGTATATAGTTGTACGTATGCATGAAAGCATATATATATATACACATGTATATACGTAAAATCGATTTTCTAACGAATCAAAGTTTTATGAACTCAACGAGAGTTTGCTACTCGACGATATTCTCAAACGGGAGGAGTACTTAATTAAGAAATATTTTTTATGAGAATAAAAGAATAAAGAATGAGAGAGAAAGAGAGGGGATAAAAGAGAAAGAGTTTATCGCAAAGTTTAAAGTAAATTTTTTAGAAAAATCTTCAAACTACGTTTCTCTTAGACACAGAATACTATATATATATATATACATATATATACATAACATTATTTTTATTGTATTTTTATTTTCGTTAATCGAATTAATTTCTAGATTAATTCGCGTATAGTATTCGCAAATATTTTATATTAATTTTTGAACGTAGGATAAAATTAGTTAGACAGTGGATATAATTAATTCAGTGAGTTTACATTTATTCGAAAAAAAATAATCTTGAGATTAAATTGTTCCAATTTCCATAAATAACATTTTAATTTAAATCGAAAATATTGAAATAAAAGAGAG